GCCTCGGTCCACTTCAGAAATCTACCCCAATCCCTTTTACAATCTGATTACAAAAGTTCTTTTTTTTCCTCTTCAGTCAGCTTCACAAGCAGACTTGAAACCACAGTTTACTTGATAAGAAGATTCTTTCCCCCCAAATATTTTTTTCTTTCAGTTGGGGAAAGATGTCATCCTACATTTGCTGAAAAAAAATAGAAGGCATTGTTGAAAATATAGGAATAAAGTGAAGATTTAAATTGCTACAGACATTATTGCTGAAAAATGTGACTACACTTTTTCAAGATTAATTATTGTTTGCAAAGTGATTTTTAAAAAATTCTATATGTAATGTACAAACTTTTATTCCTGATATGTAATGTACAAACTTTTATTCCTGCTGAGTTTCTTCTTCTTAATCTTTGTTCAGTTTTGTTGCCTGTTTTCTATTTTTCTTCATTCTTACTACTGTTTGTCACAAGTTTATCCCAAAAGAGAAAAGGAATGCACAGGTGTATTTTCATATTTCACTACAGTAGTATGTAATTACTGCATGTAAATTAATTTTACAACTGATAAAATTTTATAATTTTGTTTTATAATGTTAATTTTAATCAATAATGATACATTTAATATTTGCATATCTGCTATGAATCTATCCTTCTGCAATGTGGTCTCTGGAAACTATGTAATACATACATATATTGATGAATAGATAAAAAATTATTACACTGACCCCTATATTCTATTGCTATGCTTATAAATAAAAATAATATAAATAAAAATGTATCACTTGTATGCATTTATGGTAGAGGGGAATCTCATTATTGGGTTCAACTAGAATTGGCAATTTTAAATTAACCAGTGGTAAGGTTGGACATTGAACAAGGTGTGTGTGTGTGTGTGTGTGTGTGTGTGTGTGTTTGTAAGCACACACATATTCTCATATCTACCTTTTTGAGGGGAACTATTTAAAATTCAGCACAATCGTCTCTTCAGATAAAAAGGTATTACAGATATTCCTTTTGGATAAATGTAGTATATTAAATCTCATCTTCTTCCTTCTTTAGATATTTTGAAAAAGTTTATTTTGTTTATTTTTTAAATATCCCAAAGAAACAAGAGAAAGGTTGTTCATTTTTTCAATGGCAGTTGCCGCAAGGAGAATATGGATTTAAATTTAAAACTGTCAATCTGGAAGCTAAATTTCAATCCTGATTATATATTGCTATGTATTTTGTCAATTATTCAATGTGCTTTATCTTGTTGCTGCTTTTTATTTAAGTTGTACTTTATGTATAGGTTTTTATAAATAAATATTAAGTACTATTTCTTCAAATGAAAAATGAAGGCAGCAATTGCAATAAGGCAAGCTGTATTCTCAATATCACTTTCTTACAACCTTTAAAAGCTATAAAAGTTTAAAAGTGGCAGCACTTAATACAATTCAGGGTGTTCTCTATTCTTGCACAATGAAACAGTTAGTTTGTTTTAAATTGGCCATAGGCTAGTAAGAGACTTGCAGCTTTACAACTAGATCATCTATATGTTAACTCAGATGTGAGCACTACTATGTTCAGTGAAATCACTCTCTGTTTTAAAGCTAAGAATAATATTTTTTTTAATTTATCCCCGCAGCACAGTTAGTAGCAAATAACTATGTCTAAATCACCTTGGGGAACCATTTTGCACATTTGTGTTTTATGTTTTACATTTATGGCAGAGGAATAGAGGAAGTCACACTAGCATGCAACAGAAGACCAGTAGTTCTATTTCTATTAGCAGACTTAACACCTTGACTTTTTGCAAAACTAGAAAAATAAATAACTAATTTATTATATTATTATATATTACAAAATATTATAATTTATTAGGTAGCCATATCATCTGAAGTTAGCAGAAATCAATTTATCTAGAATGCATTAAATTGCCATCAACAGAGAATCCGCTTATGACAAACTGAACAAAAGACAACATATTGGAAAACTGATAAGAGAATATATATATATATATATATCTGACTAAAATAGGGCAGTTAAAATGTTATTAGACATCCAAGTCCAAGCTAATAGGGTGAAAGGCAAATTTTTCTCCTGTTAAAACAAAGAGGCACAATAATAATGAATACTGGAAAAAAAATTAAAGGACAGTTCTTATTTGCTGTGGGATAGAAATCTTGTGTTTCATGCACCAGTCTGATACAGATACAGGTGCTTCCTGTTTTTCCTTCTCATCTTCTGCCTATTAGACCAAGGGTCCCCAACCTTGGTGATTTTAAGACTTGTGGACTTCAACTACCAGAATTCCTTAGCCAGCAATTAATACAATTCAGGATGTTCTCTATTCTTGCACAATGAAACAGTTAGTTTGTTTTAAATTGGCCATAGGCTAGTAAGAGACTTGCAGCATTACAGCTAGATCATCTATATGTTAACTCAGATGTGAGCACTACTATTTTCAGTGAAATCACTCTCTGTTTCAGCCAGGAAGGACTTCCTATATGTCTCTTTTCTATGTCAGCAACTCTCCCAGTCTGGCTGACTTCTTGTCCACCCTCTGCAGCTGTCCCCCACTTTCTTTTGTAGCGTGTCAAATACCAAACAAACGATGAATACCAGGACAACATTTTTGCATCAAAATGCATTTTGAAACAGTCGAGTACCAAGGGGCCACTGCAGGTTTGTTGTTGTTGTTGTTGTTGTAAAGCATGGGACAATGCTGGTTTCTAAAATACCAGTGATATTAAGTCTAGAGATTAATAGCAATCTTTTTCCTATTTCTCCCACCAACTATCCTGTGTTTAAATTTGGGCTGAGCAGGTATGACTAGTCAAAAATTATCTAGTGAGCATCCATGATTGAGGATGGGCTAGAAACTGGATTTCTCTCCTCCTAATCCAAGACTTATACAGTGTAGGACACTATACCACATATTCTATGAAATTATTTTAAAGAAATTCCATGGATTGCAAAATTCTATTATTTTTGAAATGTTTAAGCCTTAAGGATTGTTTCTGTAAAACATTGCTTTTCCTACGCGGTTGTCTCCTTAATAATAAGTGGTAAAATTGGGAGGGAAAATATGCTTCCAAAAAGTGTGTGTTTTAGCTTTTTTGTACTAGCTCTATAACATGGAATATTTTCTTTAAAATCCATTTGGAGATCTATAAGGTGATAAGGATTCAATAACAGTTTGAGAAATAGTATATTTTGGATTAACTCAACTACTATGCTAAAATAGGGGTGCCAAACTGGCAGCCCGCAGTCTGGATGCATCACACGCAGTCCACGCCCACCCCAGCTCCACAAAGGCATAAAACGTTGTGGTACATCACGATACATCACATGACGCAATTGAGTTTGACACCCATGTGCTAAAATAATGTTGTGCGTTGCCTAGAATCGTCTCTTGTGAAATGGGTAACTATATAAATTTGTTAAATGAATGGATGGATGGATGGATGGACAGATGAATAATATATAACTAAAAATACAGGGCATCCAATTAATGTGACCTATCTGTAAATAAAGAAACATGGTGGGAAGATATTTAGCTTTAATTACCTGCCATGTTGCATGTACTACTATAATCCATTATCTAGAGCAGTGGTTCTCAACCTTTTTAATGCCACGACCCCCAACCGGTCGTAAGTCAAGGACTACTCAACCGGTCGTAAGTCGAGGACTACTCAACTGGTGCAGCACCATTTGCAGAATGGGACTTTTGGCGGGCTCAGCAGGGCAGAGACAGCCTGGACAATTCCTATTCGCTTTTGAAAGCCAATAGAATTAGACTCTATTCAAGATAGTCTATTCTATTGGCTTTCAAAAGCCAATAGAATAAAAGGGAGTAGCACAGCTAAGGAAAAGGGGAAAAAAATGGCAGACTGTGTTGTTTGGCGACCCCCATGAAATGGTCGTTTGACCCCAAATGGGGTCCCGACCCACAGGTTGAGAACCACTGATCTAGAGCTTGGTTTCTTTTGAACTGCTAAGGAAGTTTGGAACTGGTTAATGCCTGATGGATTGGGAAGTTGAAAAAACAGTTCAGAAGATGAGAGTAGCAAATCATTTCTGTACTTTCGCCAAAAATTTCACATGGAGATGGGTATGAATTCACCAGGAGTAAAGCTCAACTCCAAATAGGCTTCATCTATAATCTTGGGGCAAAACGTGGGTTTTCCCACTGTAACACACAAGAGTCTTATGGAATCTCTTTAAAAAAATTTGTATTTATTACATTTCTACCCAACCCAACCAATTCTCAGTGTGGCACAAATAACTGCTTATTCAACAATGTACACCTGGTACTCTTGAGGCAAGACTGGGCTACATAACTCTCTAAGACTGCTCATTCACCTCTGCGGTCAACAAGAAAAAAATTGCTTTCATTCCTTCTCAGTCAGAGGCTGGGCTGATGGAAGATTGCTTCGCCTGCCAGAAACTCGGTAGGTCCATGCCCCCTGCAGACATAGTGCCCAAATTAGGGAACAATGGACTCCACCGCTGTTTGCACACTTTTCTATGTTCTGTATACGAGACACAACTCCCAGGGCAGAGAGGACAGAGAAGACCTGGAGTTTCCCGAGACCCTTCCTCTCTCCTGAACGGGCAGGGGAAAGGAACAGAGACCGCGATTTAGTTTTATTCTCAGTAGGTGTGCATGAAGCAAGACACAGGGCTGTCTTTTTTTCAGGAGTATAATAAAATTTGTTAGCTTAAAGATGCTGTTCTCCCCGCTGTTCTTCTTCTGCAGCAAAAGGACTACTCTCTGGGGAAGGGGGAAACCCCCCCTTTTCAAAATCTGGCTCTAACGTCATCCGCTGTTAGGCCCCGACTTGTTTGGTACCCATGATCAAAGGAGGGCTTGAAGCGGGAACGCAGCCTGGGCAGGAACTGCCGGATCCTCCCTTCGAAGCCTCTCCGCTCTTTGTAGTCTCCTTTCAAGTCAACGGTGTCCGGTTTCAGGCGGCAAGCAGTTCGCCCCGCCCGGCCCCGCCCCGGGCCACCCAGACCCCTCCTTCTGGGGTTGCGGCCGGGAAGGGAAATATGAAGGGGAGTAGTTGTTGGTGTCGCCGCCGCCGCTGCAGCGCTTCAGATAAAAGCCGCAGGAGGAGACGCGGAGGGAAAACCGCTTGGGAAAAAAAGGCGGCGGTGGGCGCCCGAGGCGTGATCTGAGCCTGAGCAGGCAGCGGCGGCGGCTTCGGAAGGCCAAGGATTGGGAAAGCCTTGGGAGCTTCGGCGCGCGCCCGAAGCTCGCCGCCTCGGCCGGCACGAGGCGGACCGCCTCCCTTGAAAAGTTTTGGTCGGCGAGTGGGTGGGAGAGCTGGAAGACTGAAGCCCAGGGCGGCAGCTGCCTGAAAACGCCGGAGCCTCGCGCTGCTTTCTGCAGTTGGAGTTCGCCCCGAGTTGGGAGGGAGAGGTGCCAGCGCTTGGGGGGGAGGTTGGATCCCGCCAGGTGGGTTGCGCGCGGACCTGGACTTCATCCTTTGCGCAGAACCTTCGCTCGCTCTTGCGCTGGGTTTTGCCTTTTTACGATTACTATTGCTATTAGCGGGTGTTTGCAGCTTAGTGTGCGTGAGAGGACTTGGGGGATTTGGAGGAACTTCAGCGGTGCGGAAGAAAGGGATTAAAGCAAAAAAGAAGAGAAGTTTTTTTTAATTTAATTTTTTAAGGGCGCAAAAAAGAAAAGTTCTGAATAGAGAAGCTGTTGAAAAGCTGGAAATGTCCTGTCCCTGTTGCATCTTGGTTGGGTACCTGTTCCTAGTCCTGCTCTTGCATGGTGAGTACTCCAGAAAGAAACAGAAGAGCATTTGTAATAATCTTTTTACGTTATTCTTGTAACAAGAGTAATTCTTGCACTTTCTAGCCAGATTTAGGGTACGGCTAGAAAGGCTAATTCTTGCCTCAACTTCAAACTCATATGTGTTACTAACCTGTTCTTCTGGATAACAAATAATTTTCCCTTTAACGATGGGTTATCTTCTGTCATTTTAAGCCTTTTGTGTTGTAGTGGAAAAGAATATTTTGTGTTGTAGTGGAAAAGAATATGGTTAGAGACGTTAGCCTGGTATTTATTGGCAATATTCTCATGACAGTCAGGTCTCTTATTTCCCTGGAAAAAACTGAAAGAGGCATATTGGCGAACAATTTAAATATGCAACATTTGGGAGGCTGACTTTTTTTATTAAAAATGTCAGCTCCAAAACAAGGAATTGCTGTATAGATGCATCCATGTTTTTTATCCGTTACATATTTGATATATAAAATCCTGAAAGATCTAACACAATATTTAGGTAGAGAGAACTGAGATTTTGCTTTGTTATCCATATTAATATAGTCCCATTTTTGCCTGTTTAGAAGTTTCATAAAAGAACTTCCCACTTTTATTTTCTTAAATGCCTACCTTACTATCACCCCATATGGGCTTAATAGAGAAGCCAAGTTGACTTCTACATCCAAGAAGACCTAGAAAAAAGGGTCTTAGGCCATTGATCCAAACCAGTTTTTGCTTCAGATGCATTGTTCACTAATAAAATGATGGTACATTGCAGTCACAGTTCTTTTTCATTTAATGATGAAATACCAAGATGTATTCTAATTGGGGGGTGGGGGTAGTCTAAAAGTTATGTACATAAAAGTAACAACAGGATCACCCCAAGCATTTGTAGAATTTACATTCTGTTCCCAGCAATGCATAGCTCAGCACTCCACAAACAAGTAAGGACCCATACTGGTCTTTTGTAGTTTTGACCCCAACATTGGTATCCAAGAGTACCGAACACTGTATTTAAACATATACTTTCTACTTAATCATTGCCAAAACTTTTAAATTCATGTTAAAACAGAGGCATAATCTCATATTGTAGTAATGGATTCTAGAAAAGTACATGCTATGTAAGAAAATACATTTCTTGGCCTGCCTTGACTTTAATGTTCATTAACATGCATTGCAATGTTATCCCACACTATTAATGATGTAATGTAGCTCTGTCATTATCCCCTTCACTTTTCTTATTTTCTAGACTGTCAAGTCCATTATTTTAGTCTTTTCTCAAATGGAAGATAATAACTGCATCATTTTCGCGCCCTTTCCATTGCTCTAATGTCATTTTAGAGATCCGATAGCTATCTAGAACTGTAACTAAAATTGCAGATGATGTAATACCATACATGTCTGTAATAGTGTTATGATATAGTTATCTTATTTTCAGTTTTTTAAAAAGTTTTTTACTCTTGCTGCAAAATCTGGTATTCATATTCCCCTGATAAAATTCCAGTGTCTTCCAATAATCATAGCTGCTTCATATGTCATCATTACTATATTATTATTTGACAAATATTTTTCACATTTAATATTCTGTTTGTGATTTTATTGTCTGTGTCTTCAATATGAGGAGAATGTCTTCAGTGTTCAGGAGTCCTTCATAATCTGTGTTGTATTTCCCATTCTGAATACTTTGATTACAACTGCAGGTTGATTGTATCTAGTTTTTTTCATCTATTACTGGACCGACATCTGCCCACAGAACAATTTTTTTGTGTGTTGCTTCCCTTTTGCACTAAAGCAAATTTCAGAGAGTTTGAATCAGTGAGGAATGTAAGGGGAAATTCAACTGTGCAAAAAGCCCACACATCCATAGGGGAATATTGCTAATATTCTGAAGCAAGACTTGTTCTTTCATAACATTTTTGCTTTGGTGATCTCCAATTTAAAATGTCTATAAAAGTTTGTAATATTTTAAGTTATAGCTGAGGAATCTCTGGTTTCTCCACTTATGGAGTCTATTTTCAGCTAGGATAAATGACTGATTGGAATTCTAGTCCAGTTAACATTATGTTTTCCACTTTACCCTAAATGTTATTTCATAGAAATGCTTATTCATTGGATAAATGAGTATCTGAATCTGTTAAATTATCTGTCCAGTATCTGTTAAATTAATAGAAATTAGTTTAACATTAGCATTTGAACACACACGTTTTTATACAGGTGCTTTAAACACATAGTTGTTACCTTCCCATCTGTTTGGGACTGTCAGATGCAGAAATGCCACACCATCATGATTAACAAATCTGTACCTTCTAGGTAACTTGTCATTTCATAGATAAAAGGATTGCCTTTTAAAAAAGTACTTATTCTCCTCCAATAACTCAGCACAACATATACAGACTATATAAATATGTCTGGTTGAAACAGACCTGCATGGATGCCAAGGTGTACTTTAAAATTCTCTGGTCTGGGAGTCTAGAAGTCAGAACAGAAGATTTGAAGTTAAAGGCTAAGTAAGGAGAGAAGGTGTAATTATAGGGTTAGACTCATAGGCTCATCTGCTTAGAATTACCAAGCTGTTTTAAACTTTGGCTGAAATATGAAACAAATCAAGGCCAGTAGTCAGATCAAAACAGCCGCTGCCAAGAGAATTTGAAATGGGGAGTTTTGCTTGTCCCTCCTTCAGAGTACTATCAAATTGGGAACATGAGAAAAGAAAAAAGAGGGAGGAGAAAGAATCAGTTGTTGAGGCTACAGTAAACATAGAGGTGAAGAACGTAATAGAAAATCATAACCCTTTTGCATTCAAGTAAGAACAGATAATTGAATGGGCAGTGCTGGCCTCTTCTGTGTGAGTGATTTTTTTTGTTGCTAAACGTATGTAATATTCATAATGGTGACATTTGTTTATGAATAAAGGAATCTATAGAGTAAGGCAACTGCCACCTCTATTTTTTATATAATGCAGATAACTGAAGAATCTGTCAGTTTCTGGTATGTATCTTAAGCCTTTTGTTACTGTCCTTAAAAAGTCTGAACTCATTTTTTTCTCCTTGAACTAATATCCCTTAGATCAGGGGTCCCCAACCCCCGCCCAATCCATGGACTGGTACTGGGCATGTCAGCAACCAGTCCACACAAATAAGCAAAGCTCCATTCGTGGGATGCAGGCAGCACACAAAACCATGCACTCTCTGGTCCAGGTGGAAAAACCTCTCTCTACGGAACCGGTCCCTAGTTGGGGTCTCTACCTTAGATTGCGGGTTCTCAATCTGGTTTTGTGTGTGTGTGTGTTTGTGTGTGTGTTTGTGTGTGTGTGTGAGATACACCAAATATAGTATCAAAAAGGCTTGGGAGAAATAAAAGGATATTTTAATGCTTATTTATATTATGTCATTACATTTATAATTTACTGTCTCAGCAACTTTAGTCCTCAACTTGCAACCACAATTGGGACCAGAATTTCCATTGCTGAACAAGGCAGTTGTTAAGTGAGTCACACACGATTTTATGACTTTTTTGCCATTGTTGTTAAGCAAACCACTGCAGTTGTTATGTGAATCACATCACATGATTGTTAAGCAAATCCAGCCTTCCCGATTGACTTTGCTTGTCAGAAGCTGGCTAGGAAGGTCACCAAATGGTGATCACAAGACTCTGGGAGTGTCATTAAAAAACATGCTGGTTGACAAGTTGACAAGATTTTGATCATGTGACCATGTGACCAGTACAAGTTGTAAGTCGCTTTTTTCAGTGCCATTGTAACTTCAAGCAGTTGCTAAATGAATGGTTGTAAGCTGAGGACTATCTGCATTCTGTTCTCTTTTGAGACTCATCTGTGGTACATCTATTGCTAGTGGAGAATAAGTGCTTTGTTATCCATCTTATTGGCTTGAGGTGAGTTTTATACAACAGAGGTCCCCAATCTTTTGGGCACCAGGGACCGGTTACATGGAGAGAGGTTTTTCCGCGGACCGAAGAGAGCATGATTTTGTGTGCTGCCTGTATCCTGCAGATGGGGCTTTCATTGTTTGTGTGGACCGGTTGCTGGCATGCCACGGCCCGGTACTAGGTTGGGGACCCCTGTTATACAACATTTAGAATCAATTTGCAAAAATTGAAATCAGTGTGGCTTTATAGAACAAGGTTTCTTTACTAAACTTGTCATGTACTGCTCCAAACAATCCTATTTACTATACTGTCACTTGCAAAAAGTTGAATCAAATAATTTCTGAAAAAGATAGTGGAGCTGAGTTCAGTTGGTTTTATAAGCAATTCTGTTGCTTTTATTATAACCCAATATATGTGATATCTGATGCAAATTTTTCAAATGCTGCTGGTTGGGTGAGATATAAATTTAGGATTACCTGAATAATTAATTTAGGACAGGATATAAATATCACATATAATTAATTTAACATTTTTTGTTGCCTTAAGATGTGATGGATTTGTTGAATTAATTGGAGACTAGATTTATCAGACAATTAACCCTAATAATCGTGTGGGAGTTTGCATATTCAGAAACAGTACATTTCTGAACTTCAGTTTTTTGCATGCAAACACACACATTGCCTCCCATGTCTTTTTTGTGGGTTTCCTATAAGCATCTGGCAGGCCATTGTTGGAAGCAGATGGCAGAGATAATCTAAATGGACTTCTGATGTCTTTGATTTTTGTTCTAAACATGGAGAGTCTTTGTCTTTTATTTCTATGACTCATATTCTCTGAATCTTTTCCGATTCCACCATTGGTCAAAACTTGAAAATCCTGTCTGGAAGATTATATCTGTCGCAGCTGCATAATAATAATATTATATCCCAGTCTTAGGATTTTGCTTTTTCTATGGAAGATTCAAGCTAAATTATTCCTTCCAGTCAACTATTAAAATTGACATTTATCATTAATGACTGATAAAACTGAAAAAAATCTGTCAAGATACTAGATTACATAGTTGTATCTAACCAGTGGGATTATATGTGGCAATTCATAATTTATTATACATTTTATATCAA